AGGGATGGCTCTGTGTGCTATTTCTGTTTTGGATGAAGAAAGTGCTGTTAGCTCCATGTAACCAGGAGAATGAGCATCTAGGAGGGATGGCTCTGTGTGCTATTTCTGTTTTGGACAAAAAAAGTACTGTTAGCTCCACATAACCAGGAGAATATCTCACCCTGTGATTCCTGGTTTTCTAGTTAGAGGATCACAACATTATTGTAGGATTTGCTGCTGCTCTGCACCCTCTGATAGGACCTCAGATGCCTTGGTAATAATCTCTATTTTGAATTTTTGAGGCAACTAAATATTCTATAGTCACAGATTTAAAATTTAAAATTTAAAGGTGTTGGTCAGTTAGTACAACCCTCAGTTTACTACATCGGCATGATGACACCCACAGAAGTGTAGTTTGTCCAGTGTCTCAGTGCCAGGTAGATCAATTTAACAATTTCAGTAACAACATTAAATAGCACATTTTAATATAAATATTGCATATTATTCATTCCCCAGATATAACATTTAGGCAAACATAGTTGATATAAGTCACAGAAAATGAGGTAATAGAATGTTGATTTTCAAAACTGCAGAAAACTTAGAAAAGCTCCTGTCCCGCCATTGGCACTTACTTAATATTCATTAAAGGAGTAATAGGTTAACAGATAATATTTAATGAATGCTAACTAATCTGTGTGGCAGACACTGTGCAAAGTTTATTAGGTGGGCTAACTCCTGTAATCCTTCCCTTCCTAATAGGTATCAATATAGTAAGTAGTATTATTATCCCAATTTTAAAGAATCTTACCATTTGTGACAACATGGATGAACCTAGAGCAGGGGTCGGCAAGCTCATTAGTCAACAGAGCCAAATATCAACAGTACAATGACTGAAATTTCTTTTGAGAGCCAAATTTTTTAAACTTAAACTATATAGGTAGGTACAGTGTTTATTAACTTAATTAGGGTACTCCTAAGGCTTAGGAAGAGCCACACTCAAGGGGCCAAAGAGCCGCATGTGGCTCGCGAGCCGCAGTTTGCCAACCACGGACCTGGAGGGTATTATGCTAAGGGAAATAAGTCAGATAGAGAAAGACAAATACCATAGGATTCCACTTATATGTGGCATCCCAAAACACAAAATAAATGAACAAACTCAGATATACAAACTGAGGTTTGCCAGATGGCAAGGGGCCAGGGGGCTGGGTGAAGAAGGTGAAGGGCTTTAAGAAGCACAAATGGGCAGCTACAAAACAGTCCCGGGGATGCAAATATAGTCAACAATACTGTAATTACTGTAATATGGTAACACATGCAATAGATGTGTGGTCAGGTGGGTACTAGATTTATCAGTGGGATTACTTTGTAAGTTATATAATCACTATTCTGCACACCTGAAACTAATATAATATTGAATGTCAAGGTAACTGAAAGCAAACCATTTTTTATGTATATAAAACAACATGCCCAATAACTTGATGTAAAGTTAAAGAGAGCTTTAAAAGTAAGGCGAAGCTACCACTATAAGGGCCCAGTGATGCCCCAGACATGCCCGAATGCAGAAGAATTCCTCCTCCAGGAATCACCAAAGCTCCAGGGAGCAGTACAAGCCAAAACTGTGATCTCCCCTGCCTTGTCCTTCAAATGGCGTGTGCTCCAAACACATTTCCGTGCAGCTGGAGGCGTTGTTACAGACAGAAGGACCCTGCGTCGCAAGGCCTAACTTTTTTAAAGCAGCATTTGGAAGACTTCCCAGACACCACATCTGCCCGAGCCCGTGCACCTCGGAGGAGAAGGCCGGCTCCGGAGACAGTGCAGACGACTAAATGTATTAACGGCGGACGGGCCACTCCATCTTTCCTGCTGCAACAGTAGGTGATCCCATCAAAAACCTGTCTGCTGGCCGGCCGACCGGCCATCCACGCCTACGGGCTCACAGAGCACACCCAGGTGAGGGGAGCGGATGCTGATCCGAATGTGGGGCCAGGGAGGGAGTTTCCGTTTCAATTCGAGAAAAAGTCTCTATTTTTACCCACAGGCTCTCTTCCTTCCTTCCTTTGACTGTTATAAATACTAAGCAGACGGTTCGCATTTTAGGGGGGTGAGTGGTTGACTTTCTAGCTCTCGGTGATGGTGCCCATGCACCAGGCCAGGTAAGTGCTCATTAATCCCAACACAGCTCAGCTGGAGGGCAATCATGATTCATTACACTCGCGCCTCCACAGCCTGCCTCACTCAGAGCACACTGTTAACTATGTTAGGATGTTAGGTGAGAATAAAACAGTAATGCTCACGCCACTGTTCCTAACGCAAATTCCATTTCACTGTCCCCAACCTATGAAACATTTATTTTTGTGTGTGTTTAATTGCATTTGTTGGGGTGACACCGGTTATGAAATTATACAGGTTTCAGGTGCACAACTCAACAACACGCCATCTGTACACTGCACTGTGTGCTCACCACCCCATCACCATTTATCTCCCCTGAACCCTCCTCCACATCCTCCCCTCCCCCTGGCAATCACCGCACTGTTGTCTGTGTCCATGAGTTTTCTCTTTTTTTCTCAATCCCTCCTCCACCCCACCACCACCCAGGTATTTGTTCCAAAATGACAAAAGCCTTATAAGTTTACAGAAAAATACACACACACACACACATAAAATACTTTGTAAATTGGGAAAGTGAAGTAGGAAGCCTAAAGAGTTACAGTTTTCTACCATCTATAGGGAAATGGTGCTCTGAAGTACTATACATCCTAGAGGTAACAACTTCCAGAATATTCTAGTAAGACCAGGAGCTGGGTGAGGCAAATGAGCAGGGTTGGATGCTGTCCCTACTTAAATGCTTGGTATTGTGTTGGAGATGTCTTTGCATTGATTCTCATTTCAAAACCACCACCACAGCATCATATTAAAATGCGTTTATATTGATCACTGAGGTGATTCGGCGCCTTTACATTCTGTGCCAGCAGCAGATGCCTTACTCTATCTCAGGCCCATAGAAGGTATGTTTTCCCTGAAATACCGTTTCCTGTAATGCTTTCCATAGAACCTGGCATATTAACAGTGGTTATACTTTCCAAAGAAGTTACATCGTGTAAGTGTTAGGAATACATACCCGAACAAAGTTAAAGAGCTTTCTTATCTTTCTTTTAGAGGCTTTAATAACCTGATGTGCCCGGGAACCTCCAAGAGGGAGGGCATTCCCCACTCGTTTGCCCACAGAACTCTCCCCAGAGCCAGTGAATAATGTTCTGGAAAAAAAGTTCTAGAAACTTTGTCCAACAGCCACATTCATCACATGCTTTGACCCACGAAGACAGCTTTTCCCTATCTACTTTTTTCTTTCCTTTCTTCCACCTTCCCACCTTTCTCCAGAATCCCAAAAAGAGACATGTGGACACACTCAAGCCGAAGTTATCAAGGGCTGAACTGGTGTTTCTATAAACAGGCGTCGTACAAGTTCATTGTAAAGGGATATCAAAGTAACAGAAAAGCTTTTGGGTCTGCGTGCCTCTTCAATAACGGGCCGTCAGACACACTCACCGGTGAAGTCTGTGTTGACGGGGTGAGTGGAGCTGGGAAATGTGTAATATCCGTGTCCGGGGAAGCGAACTCCTTTCTCCGCCCTGGCCCCCGGGGCTGGGAGGGACGTCTCCCTCCTTTCCAGCTGATAGACGGGAGACGGGCCGTTCAGTTCTGCGGGCGGGAGCCAGCGAGCGAGGACGGCTGTGCCGCTGACCCCTTCGACCAGAGGCGGCCTCAGCTGGGCTGGCGCTAAACGTTAGAAAACACGTGTTACCTTCGAGAACTTGGCTCCCGTCTCCAGACACAGATCCTCACACATATGGACCCGTGCAACCGTGGGCATCACACTCGAAATCAAATTCGTTAGGCTCTCAAGGATGTGTGTGGTTCCAGGAACCAAAACCACAAGACAGACTTAATCCACAATGTGATTAAACAGTTTGAGTGGCTAAGAGAAGATGGCGGTGGCAGGGAGGGCGCTGGCCTCCCGTGAGCAGAATGAGAGACACGTGTGTAAAAGCAGCAATTACCCCTGAGAGACACCGAGCGTTGAATGGACAGCTTCTGACATGAACAAGAGAAAGAGAAGAAATGCGGACGCTGAGACACCAGAAGAACCCGGGGCAGACGAGCAGCGGGGCGTGGCTGTCTAGGTCCCCCCCAACCTTGGTGGCCCACTGGGAGTCCCCTGGGGGGCTCTGACCTACCTGCAAGGCTATGCAGCCTGTTCCTTACAGCAACGTTGCCTGGAGCCTTCTGCCTCTGAACAAAGGCAGCGGGGAGCAGGAATCACAGGACTGGGCACCCACACCTGGCCTCCCGGCCTCCAGCCTCCCCTCCCTGCAGGCTGGTGCCCCAGGCACTGTGGGCACCTACCCAGCCCCAAGCAGTTTCCCAAAACTACCCGGCACCTAGAACCTGCACACAGAGGTCCCGTCCACAGAGACCACCTTTGGTACAACAAGCAAGAGAGAGACTGCATAGGGTAGGCTGGGCAGCCCAGAGAACACTCCCAAGAGCTGCGGAATTACCGAGGTCAGAGAGCCTCCTTAAGGTCCACCTCCAAAGGGTGGGCGGGGCCTCTATCTAGATGCTCCTGGCTGCCTACAAGGTCTCCTGAAGCCCATCCACCAATCAGAGACAGCCATTAGGATCCACTCTCACACCTACAGGCACCTGGCCCCTCCACCCAGCGCTGCTCCAGCTGGAGCCACCATCTCCCACCCACCAGCCTCCAATTCCACCTGGCACACAGGCCACAGAGGGCCAGCTTCTGTATGGGCTACTTCCCCGAGGCTAGAAGAGACAGCTCTCTTGTCTAATTTACATAAGCAGACATAGAAAGTCAAACAAAACGAAAACACAGGAAAAATATCTCTCAAATGAAGGAACAAGAAAAGGCCCCAGAGAAAAGGAAACCCTAAGGAAAAGGGTGTAAGTCACTTGCTTAATAAAGAATTCAAGAAACGGTCACAAGGGTGCTCATCCAACCTGGGAGGAACTTAGGGAGAAGGTCAACAAAGAAAAGTGTAAAAAGAACTAAGCGGACCTGAAGAATACAAGTGAAATCACACACACACACACACACACACACACACACTCTCTCTCTCTCTCTCTCTCTCGGCAATTACCAGCAGACTAGCTAACACAGAAAACCAGATCAGAGATGTCAGAGAGAGACGAGTGGTAACTGGCCAATCAGAGCAGCAGAAAGAAAAAAATAAATAAAAAAACAGCCACAAAGATAGTTTGTGGGACCTCTCTAGGATAGCATCAAATGCTCAAACCCTGGCATCATAGGGATTCCCAAAAGGAGAAGACAAAGAGAAAGGAATGGAAACTGTATGTAAAGAAATGGCTGATAAGTTTCCTCACCTGGGAAAGGAAACAGATCTAGTTCCAAACTAGATGAACCCAAAGAAACACACACAAGACATATTGTAATGAAAACAGCAAAAGGTGAAGACAGACCATCTCGAAGGAAGCAAGAGAAAAAAAAAATTACATACGAAGGAAACCCTATAAAACTGTCATCTGATTCTTCAGCAGCAACTTTATAGGCAGGACATCTAGAAAGTGCTGAAAAAAGGGACCCTACAACCTAAAATCATTTACCCAGCGAGGCTATCATTCAGAAGTGACGGGGAGAAAGAGTTTCCAGGACAAACAAAAACCAAAGGACTTCATCAACACTAAACCAGTTTGACAAGAAATGTTAAAGGCGTTTCTTTCCAAATATACAATAGATGCAGCATATCAGACATTTCAAAAGCTACTATGAAGGTTAAAAGAAAAAGAGGACCAAGATCAGCTCAAACTGCAATAAGTAGTTAGGAGACAAACAACACAAGTCAATGTAAAACATGGTATCAAAAACATAAAATGCAGCGCTGGCTGGTGTGGCTCAGTTGGTTGGGTACCTGGGGTTACATGTTGTTAGGGAGCATGCAGGAGGCAGCCAATCAATGTTGCCCTCTCACATGGATGTCTCTCTCTCTCTCTCTCTCTCTCCCTACCTCTCTCTAGAAAAATAAAATTAGTAAAAACAAAATCTTATAGACATACATACATAATTGCTTTCAGTGTTGCAAAACAAAATTCTGTATCATTGCAAGGCACTGATATTAGTAGCCAACAACACATCTTTTAAATTGCATGTGATAAAAGATCAAAGAACATATCTCATCCACATTCAAAATCTACAAGTATTTACTTAGAAAAAAATCTTATAAATGTGAACTATAAAATGGAACTTCAATATCCATCATTTCAAAGAATAACAACATACAAAGTCTGTTTTCACGTGGAATAAAATTACAATGTTCTTACGTTTTTTTGCAATAGCTCTGTAATCTGATTTCTAGTCTGTCTCTTCTGTTTATAGCTGGTCTTTTATAAAATGCTTGATAATATACATTCTTCTCTATGCGGCATTTATTGCTTTATAATCTGATTAATAGCATATCATTATGCATAAATTTACACTTGCAAAATTTATGTAGTGTGGAGTCTGAACATCTTCGGATAAGAACTGAAGGCTGAATGAGCAGAAGCTCTTGCCGATGGCAGGTCTTTAAAATCAAATCTCCTTATTTATCTTCAAGGGAGAGTTTGTTGTCTATGAAGACTGCAGGACCGTGTCAACATCTCAAAACATCATCAACTTTGCATATGCAGAGAGGGCTCCGGGAATGAACAATCCTCCCACGTCCCAGGAGTGTGTGGGGAGCAGGCCAGCATAAGACATCCTCAGGCACCATGTCAATAGAAAGGATTTTGACTTTTTCTCCGAGACGCAGTTGGCACCTGGCCTGCTTGCACTGCTATCCAATCAGTGACCAGAAGAGCAGACCCCCACCCCCAGACTCACATAGGAAAAAAAGGAAAAAAAGAAAAAAAAAACTATTGTCCTGCTGCCTTCTTTGTTCAGGAGTCTCCAAGAGAGAGTACGTGTAGTGAAACTTAACTGGAAAAGGAGAAACTTAAGGTTGTCGCCTGGCTCTCTAAGTCCCTCCGTATGGAACAGTGGCAAATACATTATTTTGTGTCTCTGTTCTTCCATATCCCATTTCCTGAGGAGTACATTGGGCGTGATTATGTCTAGGATCTCTTCGTTTCAAAGGTCCATGACTGGACATTTCCAAGCCCTGCCTCCCAAGCAGTAAGCCAGGAGGGGTGTGGACATATGGATCCCCTTCAGCTCTGAGCCCCCATGTTCCTTGACCCCAGTCCCGCCTATAAATATTATGACTTTTCTGTGTTCTGTGACGTAAGGAAAAGCCAGAAAGCACTGCTTTAGGAGACTTTATGGGACTTCCCCTTCTTGGCGAATAAACATGGCCTTCGTCCGCCATCGTCCTGGCCATCAACAGGAACCGGCACAGAACGAGGACCCTCCATGGGAGGAGGGAGGAGGAGGCGTGATTTCTGAACTGCGATTGGACCGGCACTGATGACAGGGAGCACCGTTCCCTGGCATCTACCGTTAATAAAAAGGCCGTTGCTTGGACTGTAATTATGGCATTCTTGCTACCCAAACTTGAAGCTTTTATGGGGCTTCTGCAATTATCTACTTAAATGCATCGTAACACTTGCTTCTCTGACAGCAAAGTATTGATTTTTTAATCATTTTCAAGTCTCCTCCAGCACAAATAAATGTACTACAGTTACAGTTAATGCACTGTGTACATGCATTAACCGCGGGCGCGCCGCCATTCATTATTTGGCGATACAGAGGGCTGAAGTCTGGCTCCTCAGGAAGGAGCGGCAGGGATTCCACATCAGGATGGAAGCTGCCATTGTCCTTGGTGCTCCCAATCCTATAACTTCTGGGGAGCTTTTAAAATAGGGTACTTAGGCTTAAAAAAGGACAGGGTGCTGAATGGAAATCTTTTATATATGTCAGTGTGGATGAAATTAAAACTCGTTTCACTGAGAAGATAGGGTTTATATATCCCTAAAGGTGTCACTGCGGAACCTATGGCAGCTTTGCTCAGATGCATTTTGGTCCATTCCATTTCTTTCCTTACACATATTTAGGACGCATCTATCAAAATACTTGGGTAATATATCTACCTCTCTCTATATATATATACATATACACATATACACATGTATGTATATAGGCTGATTCAATTTTTACATATTATAATTGTGATGCTTTAATGCCTTACTACGATTAGCATATTATGAAGCTAAAACAGTGTTTTAAAAGGTGTGAATTCCGAATGCCCTTTCTGTGCCCCACAAAGGCCAAGTGCAGCCCCCGCTAAAGTCACATGTCTCAATACAGACCTGGCGACAGAGGTCATCGAGTATTTTACCCATGAGCCTTTTCCTGCAGTGGTGCATCCGCACATTCAAAATTAAAGCTGGTGAGTCAAAGCAGTTAATTTTGTTTTGTGAGAAATAATATCATTTTAGTTTTAGCATCTAAGACAGATGCCAGCGTTTCCCTCTGAACAGATGGTAATTCCATCTAATAGTGCATCTCTGTATTAGTGAGGTCTGTTGTGTATACAAACAGTAATAAACAGTAGGTAAGGATCAAAATAAATTTTAATTGTTGACATTAAATTCTGGCAGCCACAGTTCTGAGGCGGCAGTACTCCTTTTTCAAGCCTGTCAGATTTACGGAGGCTTGCGGGGCTTTGCCGGAAGCCGCCCCATCCCAGTTACAACAGAGAAATGTTCCAGAGCTCCCAGTTACTGGTTTGAACCGGGATGCCTGTTGTCCTACACTGAGATGATTCTTCCAGAATGACAGGGAAACGGTGCGCCTGTGACAGTCTGCCAGGATTTCTTCTAGAATGGCCTTGAAGGACTAAATGTTTAATGGAGGTTGATATACAGCGGTTCTCAACCTGTGGGAAGAGACCCCTTTGGTGGTCGAATGACCCTTTCACAGGGGTCACCTAAGACCATCCTGCATATCAGATATTTACATGACGATTCATAACAGTAGTAACATTACAGTTATGAAGTGGCAACGAAAATAATTTTATGGTTGGGTCACAACATGAGGAACTGTATTTAAAGGGCCAGAAGGTTGAGAACCACTGATATAAAGTGTTATGTCCCATGGTTACATTGGGGAGGGGGCACAGTACTATCACAGCCACTTGGGTATTTTGCTCAGTAAGGGTCTCCCATTCATGATGCTATT